AACGAGTAAAGGTCCAAACGTCTGGCCAAAAACGAGTAAAGGTCCAAACGTTTAATGTATCAGGCCTGAACATCTGTCCAGGTCCAAAGTCTGTCAAAAACGAGTAAAGGTCCAAACGTCTGGCCAAAAACGAGTAAAGGTCCAAACTGAATTAGAGGCTCAGCCTCTGGGCCTGATTCCGGCCCTGGTCCTAGTTGTGTACCTGGCCACAAAGCGGACAACAGCACATTAGTAAAAACACATCAGTAAATAAATAAATAAGAAATCAACTTAAAGTTGAAGTCTTTCTGATGCAGGCCTAGGAGAAATGGCCGTAGGGCCTCCAGGTTGCGGTGACGCGACCTGGGGGCCTTTATCCAACCTCGGGTCCCGTGAGGGGCCCGTGTGGAGGCTCTCAGCATGTAACAGAGAGAGAGAGAGAGAGAGAGAGAGAGAGAGAGAGAGAGAGAGAGAGAGAGAGAGAGAGAGAGAGAGAAATGAAGTAGCCGGCATGCGCGTCGGCGTGCTGAAAAGATGCACCCTACCGGTAGGGGCATATGGACAATTCTTGTGCTGGTACTCAAACGGCTATCCGGTAGGGGCATACTGCAAATTTGAACGGATACCGGTAGGGGCGTAACGAAAATATATTAGGCCCAACAGTGGCAACCGAAGCCAGGGTTTTATGGGAAATTTGAAACGTGGTCAGAGGGGCGCGACGGGGTAAATCGGCTGTCGAATCCAGTCTACCACACACCTAGAAGTAAGGCCAACTCTGAAAATGTTTTCTTTTCATTAGGTCATAGAAAATAAACCCAAAGTAGAACGAAACCGCACCTTAGACTGATATATATTATTTATGGTTGCATTGATTGCATTTGTCTGTGTATTTTTATGACGTGGTGACAACAATTTGTCGATCCTCTGAAACAGGATTCCTTCTTCTAAGTAGGTTGGAAGGATCAGAAATGGCTGACCTTATTGTCCAATTTGTACAAATGGAAATACGGGCGCATTGGATAGTTCTCCGTACTAAGATACAACACTTTCATCAAAAAAATGGATATCCGTAGTAGTATTCAAAAATTCAATATAGACTGGCTGGGGGGAGCTGAAGGAGGAAGCTTGGGATAAGTGAAATGGCCAGGAGGGGAAGAGCAGGAGGAACCTCTAAAGTGGGACTTCCACCTCATCTTCACGGACTGGTTCTCACTCCAACCAGGAGTTACTCTCAGATCTCCAGAATGTTTTCTTGATCCCTTTCCTCCCTCAGAATTGGCGATGGTTGATATTCAATGGTATGCTAGGGGAGTTAGTTAACAGCTCTGTTTCTATTTTTGGAATGCTGCTGGGTAGATCTGCTAGATTGATTCACTGTATCTGCCGGCTCAGAATGGGCTGAAGAGGCAGGATTCTACTTTCAAACTCAAAAAAAAAAAAAAAAAAGGATCAGGCATTTAGGGATTACAATGTGTAGTGAAGGTCATTAGAGGCATACAGACATGTAATATTTTTCTTGTTTTCAACATAGCCAAGACAGAAGCTCATGGGCCTAAGCGCTTGGTAAGATTGGTTAGGCCGTACTGGTTTCCATGCGCTGACGTGTTCAGGCAGCTATACCTATCTGCTCTTTGTTCACTGATTGCAGCGAGACTCCACTTGCCTGGCCTATAGCTGGGCGTGTTTCAGCTATTGACTATTTGACCTGTGGGACCAGACTGTCAGCCTGATCGCACAGGCCGTATATTATTTTGGCCGGTACGTGCATCGGTACCAGTCCAGTCCAGTCCAGTAAGTCCGCTGGGAGTATACCTCAGCTGCAGTCTGTCATTTGTTTCAGTGTGAACACGGTGAAGTGGTTTTTTTTTTTTTTTTTTTTTTTTTTTTTTTTTTTTTTTTCAAGGGGGAAATTGGGAGATTTAAGTTCGTGCAATTGAAAAAGAATGTCAGTTGTAACAAACTGTCAGCCATAGCCTTGGAGACGAGGGAGATGACCCCCATAGCTATACAGGTGGGGGCCGAATAGGAGGTGGTTGAAGAAGGGTTTGGGAACTTTGGGTATATAGATGGGTGCTATTGCCTACCTGGACAAGTAGAGGAAGAGCAGCACCTGTTTTTCTCTCTTCTTTTTCTTTTTTTTCTGAAGAGAAGGAACTTCAGTTGGTCTTAAACCACCAGTAATCGAGCTATCAGCCACGGGCCCTTTTCGGAGGCTGCCCACCGCCGATTCGATTTATCTATGGCGCCGGGCCTCCGAAAATTTCGTAGGCGACGAGTTTTCTTTTCAGCAAGGCTGGGGCCGTGTACTGGCGGTTTAAGCCACCAGTACGCATGAAAAAGGAGATTGAGTCTCTCCTTTAAAAAAACGAGGCCATGAACCGCCGATTGATTTTAGCAACGGTCCATGGCCTCCGAGATTTTAGGAGAGGCTCAATCTGCTTTTTCGGATGTACTGCTGGTTTAAGGAGAAGGAAGAAAAGAGGGGAACCGTTATGAAAACTTAGAGCCAGGCCCCGGTGGGGCCATGTGCCTGGTAGCAAAGCACGGACATGACCGTGGTTATGCCCAGGTTCATGCTTTCCAATCACTGAGTTAGCACCAGTTGGACCTGACCCTTACCTCTGGCTATGTTGGGGTACCATCTTCACCCCGGGCCCATGTGTGGTGCGACATCAAGAATACCCTTTTAGGGCTCTTTGGAGAAGAGATTGCAAGCAAAAGAGAGAGAGAGAGAGAGAGAGAGAGAGAGAGAGAGAGA